GGTTACGGCATATATGATAATATAAAAAGTTAAAAGATTATTAAACATACATCTAAAATAACAGGAATGTTTGAACATTGAGTAATGAAAATTAAATTATAAAAGATATATTTCAACATGTTACAACATATCATACATGTATACAATTGTTTCATGAAAATTATGTAAATGTTCAGAAATACATTTTTAATTTAGCTAATGACATTTGTTCTATGATTCAAGAAATATTAATTATAATAAATTAAAATATTATTGATAATAAGAGTTTATAATAATTTATTATAGGAACATTTTTTAATATATTTTGAAAATTCTATTTCATTAATAAATATCCTTTTAAGTATGTAAAGTATAAATGTAAAAGTTATTGCTTGAAATTCTAAAAGATAAATATTTATTTTTTTGAAATATTGGTAAACTAAATCATTGAAAAGGTTCTCTTTTAGAAACTACATATATATGGAAATAGATATGTGACGTTATGTATGTAGTAACATGAATACCTACAAATATATTATATACTATATAAAGCGCTTTTATGATTATATATGTAAATATATGTATATAGAGCTGTAAAATAAAACTTACGTAGATTAAAAACACAAATATTGCCTTCAAAGTCACCGTTAGTACGTATTTAAATATATATAAATTTGTTTTATCCCCATATTAAATGTAAGTAAATTATTTGATTTCGGAGTCCAATATGTGTGTGTTTTTATATAAATTATATTGCTTATGATATTATTTACCATAAATACCTTTTAATTTTATTCGCGTTATTACATATTTGCATATACTTACATGTATTGCGTCAATAATTTGATTCCTAAATCGGGCTCTATGCAAACATACATAGTTGTGCAAGCTATTGGATTGAGAACTGGGTTAACCGCCGTCATTCTAATACTGCAATAACAGCTGGTAAAATTTACCACTGTGTAGTTACCAAGCTCGGAGTACAGTTTACACCTAAAGCGATCAGTCAACTTACTATGCACTAGTTATAACATTCTATATTGTAAGATTTGCAACTTATAGTGGCATCAGAATTTGTTATAATTTGATATGAGTAAAACGCTAATTAATGTGTGAAAAAAGTTTGTTGTATTTAATATTATGATTTGACATGAAATCTTTGGTGGATTTGACACGTACCCATGTGTGATCGATAAATCCAAGGCAACCGTTAGAAACTAAAAATACCAAACTTTTAAAGTTATTATAAATACACGCGGTGCATAGTATAATGCTACAGTGATAATTACTAATATCGATTAATTGCTACTTATTTTAATAAATGCATAGTAAGAATGTTGTGATGATAATTTAATATAAATATAAAATTAAAATTGAATATATACAATTTCTAGTATTATTAAATTGGCTTAAATACATCTACATTATGGAATTATAAAATAATTCATTAGTATAAGTTAATCGAGTATACTACTTCGTAATATAATTTTTTTAAAATACAATTTTATTTAGAAGCTTTGTACTAAAAGGTGGATGGTGATAAGCAATGGCGTATCCAGGGTGGTTAGCGGGTTATGACCCTCAAAATGTTTCTCTTATTTATGCAATAATTTTAAGAAAAAGGTATAATGATTATTATACCATCATTAAAAAATTTGAACAGTTTTAATAAACTAAATAATAACATATAATATATTTACACTTATGCTTAATCGATTTATTAAAATTAAAAAGTTGATACTTATGTAGGAGAGAAATTAAAATATAAAACTCCCCCAAAATATTTTTCTAACTACGTCACTGGTCATTAGTATAATTATGACTGTAAATATCTAATGCATTTTTAATTCAAAACCGGTCGTACATTACGCATATAATAATACTCCAGGCTACGCATTTATTTATTTATTTCTATAAAAAATTATTTATTAGTATATTTATAATTATTAATTGGACATTTTTCTCATTTCATTCGTTTATTATTATTATTATTATTATTGTTATTTATTATTCTAGATGTATCTAACATATAAAGATGACAATTATATAACACTCGGTCCGAAACGTTTATATCATAACTCGTCAACATTTCAAATGAGATTTTTGGATTACCCGTAGTTTTTCAAAATTTTCACTATAGCTATTTGGAATTTAAAAGTTCGCGCTACACGCAACTTATTATTTGCTTATAAAAAATGATCAATAATTAATGATAACAGAAATGATCCTAGAATTTAATTGTTCACCTCAGAGTCTTATTGTAATAGATTGTGTATTGAATAAAAACGTAATAATATTTATGGTAATTTAATATATAGTATTAGGAAGAGAAAACATATACCTTCCAAATATTAGTGTAGATATAGTGAAAGGGTTGAACATTTCTTAAACCTTTTAAATTATGCCATTGAGTTTTTAGCTGTTATAGGATTTATGTGTACGCGGGCAAGTGCGCGTTAAGTTTTATACAATTTAATTAAATTTTTTTTAAAGCCCGCGACCGTTTATTATTATTATTATTATTTACTAGACGTGATAATTATTTAAACCATATGTTATGTGCTAGGTAATGCATAAAATGCAGTATATAACATGATGTAGAGAGGTGCATATGAGTAATTATAATCCATGCATAATGAAATACCTGTACGCGAAACAGAATGTTGTACGCTGTGTGATTATCGCACGGGACGGACGTACGACGTACGTGAAGGGGGGGGGGGGTGAAATTGCGCATTAATTTTGATATTTTAATTAATAATTGGAACAGTGGCCGATAAGATGTTTGATTAAAATATTATGTTTTAATCAATTTAATTGTTCGTAATTATAATAGTATTACGAGGCAACGACACGCGAACCGATAACAGCGTCGATAGCGCACGAATTAGGCTTTTCGCTAGACACGGTTCGTATTTTTTCTCCCCCTTTAACGACGACCGCTTGTGTGTGTGTATTCGCGCACGCAGCCGTAAGTCGTTTTCCCTTATAAATGATTATAATATATTTATAACTTTCTATCCGTTCGCGCGCGTTTACGTGAAAATGATATAAATTATAACATTACGATATACCGTTGATTTGTGTGCGCGCGCGATTTTGCCCACGTTCCGTAGCTGATAAATTCATTTTACTGGGACGTCGCGTCAGGTATCGTGCATGATTTCGACGGCGCGGAGAAAATACGTTGTCCGTCGTAGACGATTGTCCTATAAGGATGATGACAGTGGTGGAGTCGAGGGTCGTTAACCATCACGTAAGTCTGCTCGAATAGAGTTTTCAAGTCGCACGAATCGTTTACCGATTCGAATACGTTTTATAACGTACCATGTTTTATGTTGGGACACTGAAATCGCCTATAAAATACGGGTAAAAAATCCATCCGGACGCGCGTTCTCCAACATTAACGAAGAAATGTATATATATATGTTATTTGTACGCGTACAAAGGGGTGAAAACACGTCCAATAATTACCGTTCCGGAATTAAAACATCGCTTGATGGGACCGTGGCACGCGCGCTTATATCGAAGTCGGCCCGGGAACTTTCGAAGACGCTCGCAAAAGACATCCAGTGTCAGGACAGAGGGAGAGAAAATTGTACAAAAGTAATTTATTTCGAAAAGTGTACGTAAAGCACGCACTGCGCGCGTGTGCGTGTGCGTCTATGGAGTACATGTTAACGTTATTATTGTGTGTGCACGTATTGTAACGTATATAATGCAATATTATTTTATATCCGCATTAGGTCTCAATTAACCAGCCCGGGCGGTGGCGGCAACGGATCGGGAATGTGAGCGTTGTCGCGCGCGTAGAACGACAAACAACGGGCGCGAGCATACACCTCCTGTGTTCGCGCAAAAAGGGGAAATAACCGGCGGTAATTGTGGCACGGGATTTCGCGTTATAATACAATTCGAACGCGACGTTTAAACTTTTTAAGGTACGCATTGAAACGAAAACAAACAAACGCGCGCGTAGGACGTCGAAAGGAAAGGGAAAAGTGATTAAAAATAAATGGGCTTGAAAACGTATTTCCCCCCCGTCGGCGGTTTACCGAAACAATTACCACAACGCGAACGCGACGCAGATTTTTCCGAACCCATACCGTAGCTAATATCCGTGTGGCAGTTATGGCGCACCCACGGGATTCCGAGACATTTTGCAATACGCGCGTGAATCGGCGACGGCCGAGGCGACGTCTTAGCAGCGGATCTTAATCGGGTTATTGCGTAATGTTTTGCGTATACGAGCATACCTACGATAGTACGTACCGAAAGTATACAATGTTTGGGTAACATTATTAAAAGTACTTGAGGTGCCGCTACAGCACGCGTACAGAAATATACAATATTTTCTTACGATAATCGAGTATTTTCTTATTGTAATATGATTAACCTGAATAGGTTTTCTGTTAGCACCCGAATCTCGTCAGGACCGTACGTTTCGCAAGGTCCCGCAAAAATTGATTGACCCCCCTTGATCATGGAAAACAGCCGTATAAAATGGTATCGACAATATTTGTCGTTTCTTCGAGTGTCGTATAGAAGTACTCGTATATAGGATAGGGTGTCATCTCGAAAAATTTCACTTGTAGAGAAAGTGCAGGAGAACAAAAAGTCCCGTACGGCTACCCATTCAAAAAATCTTACGGTCGTGTGACCGAAAACGATGAGATCGTTACTTGTTTTTCTTGATTTATACGAAAAATTTGTCTGTATACAAGTACGTTCTATGTAAATGTAAATACTAACAAAACGTTTTATGTGACATAATGAGCGATAAGAAACTTGGCGCGAAACTTATATTTCGAAATTGTATAGGGTCCATTCGATCCGTAAGCACTTCATATTAACGGACAAGAGCAACAAAAACGTGGCAAATAAAAACACGTAGTGCAATTGCGCCCTACGTGAGCGTGATTTTCAACGCTGCCGTTCAGGATCGAACACTGGACCACCTTCGCAGTGTATTGTACCGAAGGGACAGGCGCGCGTTACGCTGACGAACAATAAATACTTGCCTCCGGACTCTTGGTCCTTGTGGTCTTGGCCGCGCTTCAGGCCGAGTATGGCGTCGATGGTGTGGTGCTTGGGCGCCGGAACGGACGTGGCCGCGTTCGTCACCGGCCGGTGCTGCGGCCCGTTGAACGCCAGACCGAGAGCCGTGACGGCCGCCTGGTGACGTCTGATGAGCAGCTCGATGTTGGCTCGGCTGTACGGCGGCATCTGCGCGGCGGCCGGCGCCATTTCGTTGTCGCTGTTGCTGTCCGTCTCCATATGGCCGACGGGCGGGATGCGGGTGGACGCGGGTGACGTGCGACGCGCGTCCGCTGTGCCGCGGTGTCTTCGAGGACGTGTCGCGCGGGCTAACCGATCGCACGGCACGGTCTCGACGGGGTACCGAACAGCGGTCGACGTGTCTGTTATCGGTGTTCGATTCGCGCGAACGCGAACGCCTAAACGTGGCTGCTGGAACGCGTTCCCGTAATCGTCGCGGTTGTCGGCGGTGATCGGAAGTGGTAACGTGAAAACGGATACGATTCGGATCGGGCGAGCGTCACGTGAGGGTTTGCGTTGCGCGCGGCCAACACCGGGGCGACGTGATAATGCTGCGTGCGTGCACGTCGACGACAACAACCGGAGTCCTACTGTTCGACGGCCGCAGCACCGGTGGCCGTGGTGGCGGCGGCGTGCCCGTCGTAGTCGCGTACAACGGCGCGTCACGCGTGCACCGCCGCCGGGGGTGGAAGGCGCGGCCACGGCGGACCAATGGCGCGTCACCGCGCGCCCCACCCTCGCACGAAATCGTTACACGTCGCGGCTTTCGAACAAACGGGCCACTTGTGCACTCCACCCTCTCCACCGCGACGACTATACGCCCCCTCTTCCCTGCCGCTGCGCCTACTCCACCGACCGCGGGTTTCGGGGCTCCGGGTATAATTCGATAAATGTTCTTTTCAAAACCCTAAATGCCCCCGAGGGTCCGGGGCTCGAGAGGCGGGAGGGCTGCAGGGATCGAGACGCGGTGACGGCGGCAAGGCGTCCGTGCTCTTATTTATTTACTAGCGTGTAATGTTTAAATGAGATGTTATTGTTTGCCTCCACCCCCACACACACATACGCATACACACTACAACGATTTCTCTATCTATATATATATATATATATACGTTTAACATGTATATTATAAATGTATATAAATAATAGTAATATATTCGACACTGCTACTCAATCGTTCACACTCAAATCGTTTTTTCCTTTTATTATACATGACGCGTGATGACAACAGCTGTAATACGTGTAGATTACACCTAAATTTTTGTATTTTTTTATTATTACCATAATCGCTTTTTTCAAATAGCATTTTTTTTTTAGGAAACGGGCGAATTACCTTTGACTGCACGGAAAAGGCATCGCGGTCGCCACAACAAATAAATTATAATTCCCCCGGATATAATGCATTTGTGTGTGCAGCAAATCGTTAAATATTATTATGTTTTCACCAAAAAAATAATGACGCGTAGTCGTTACACGTCGTTATTTATTGTATAATGTTTCGCACTTACACACGTACCTACTCGAACCTCACTGCATGTCGTCGTAACCACTTCGGCACCTTCACCAAACCTCTATAGACCACGATTGGTAATTTGTCCTGACATCATAATAGATCGGCTTAACGCGCGCGCTACACGTTCGTTAATCCTTTTTTGTCCCGCGTGTCCTGCCGTGTTTCCGCCGTGTAGTGGAGTATTATTACGTACATAAGTAAATGTTTGGTGCACACATCCACCGATGCCCGGTGAAAATTTTAATGGCCTGAACCAAAACAACACAACGAATTATCCGCTGTAAAACACGCCCCAACAATTTTCCACTGAAGTACCTACGACACCGGTTTTTTACGTTCATTATGTGTTGTAGGTATACAGTATAAAATACGATTTAGAAGGGATTATTGTATTGTGTCGCTTTGCTAATACGAACACCAAGTGTTCCCAATGGTTTTTTAGCGGTTATAAGCTAAGTACACACTCGCATAAACATGTATAATATATATGCGTATAATAATATGATTCATAACACGCGCTGGTCTAAAAATGGTCTAAATGGTTTTAGTTTTATTTTAATACATTTGAGAATAGTTTTTAGTTTTAGAATCTTGTATACTATACAATGTAATAATATTATTATGAAATATACATTCGAGAAACGAAAATTAAATTATCCTTATCCGTGAATTTTTTTTTTCACAGTTTTAATAAGTTATTTCAGCATTACAAGTTATATATATTTTTGGACGTATTGTATTACAATTCTAATAATTATACACTTCGTGGATTTTAATTTTAGGTACACATACATAAATATTATTTGTGTGTTTTCATCAAATTACTATTGATATTGACAATAACAAACATTGGAAGTATAGTATTATGTATACAACAAAACACCGCCAATAATTTTAAATTTTAAAATACCAGTAAAAATGTCTATAAATACCATATTGTACCTTTAGTATTGCAACAGTTCGTTATACGAGTGATATGTACATTTTATTCTAGGTTAATTATTGACGCCTTAATAAAATTAAAGAAAAATATTATGTATTCATTTGAGTTAATATTTTCATTTTAAGACTTCATTCGTGTACAAACAAATTTATTTACTGACCGTAAATATTTCTGTACAGTTTGTATACTTATACTTTTAATTAATTTTTTCAATATAGTATCTTAACGATATTATATTTTATAACAACAATTTATTATCATTCAATAAATACATTTTTATAAATGTGAATTATGCTCAAGTTGAATGTGCATGTATTACATTTTATTTGCTCATTTGATTAATATAATGTATTTGAATTTTGAACTATATAAATGGCAGTTGTGTCGATATTAAATCAGTTAAATTATTTTTACTATATGTATACTATGTATTTTATAGTTAAACATTTCTTTTGAGCATTCGAACCAATGTGACTTTTGAATCAAATTTAATAATAAAAATAATTATTCTTCAAGTAAATATTGATGCCCATGTAGTTGGTTTTTTAATAAATGTTTAATGTACAAATATATAAATGAAATTGCAAGCAGGTACAATGCGAATTACACACGACCAACTAACAAAAATAATTTTGTTCAAATTGGATGGAAAATACTACCTACCTCTATACTGTTTTGTATTAATTTATTGTAAAACAAAATTACTGATATATATAAATGAATAACCAATGAATAGCATTTCCATTGGTAAATTATAGTGACTTTATATTATGTACATGTTATAATCAATAATTACACGTTTGTGTAAAATGTTGCGTTTTGATTAATATTTAAATATTTAGTTATATAGATTATGTGCATAAAAAAGTAGCATTCTAATTATTGTTGTTTATTATGTTGGAAAATAAAATTACATTAACCTTTTACAAGAAATTCACTTTGATCCCTACAATTAGTGTTATCATCAAATTAATTTTATATTTTTATACAATGAAAATATTTTGTATCAAAAAAATGACTTACATATTATTATTATAACTATTGAGTTTAATTGCATAACTTGAATTATGTATTTAACTTGCTATATTACCCGACACGCCATGGTTAGGTTAGGAAGCAATGTCTTTTTAAGTGTAAATCACCTAAAATAACGTTTTAAATAAAGAGTTATCTTATATATAATAATATTCAAATATAGAAAATAAATATCCTTATCTATAATAAATGTTTTTCTTCGAATCCTTATATAAGTCTGTTGTGTTTATTTAAACGTAACAACACTAAATTAATAATAAATAGGTATAACTAAATATATCGGTGCATCCGAATTGCATGTCAAAAAAATAAACATAAATTGGAATGTCCAAATTGCTTACCATCACTTAGAGGGCATATCTATAGGCTTATCAAAGCCCGAATTAAGGGGGGTTCAGGGAGGGCCATAGCCTCCGGGCCTCGATATTTGGAATTTATTTAGGGACCTCAGATTTTTCAATTATTTTTTCATTTTAGACTATAACATTGTATAAGTCATATATAATTGAAATAATTTAATCATATTATACAACAATTTTTTTTATATAACAATTTCATTTGTTTTAAGTCAAAAATAAAAATAAATATTTAGCTTTACACATATGTTTAAATTATATATTCGTTTTGAGAATTATTATTGACAGTGTCTTACATAATATGTAAGACTTCGTCAGTTAATATTAACTTACTACATTAATATCCATACATTGCATTTTTCAATGTTTATATATTAATTTTAATATATTAACAATACATACAATAAGTATACTTACCGTATACAGTTTGGTGAAATGTTTACTCGGATATAAAAATTATTTCAATCTAGAAATTAATTAGTTATAACAACCATATCATAAATAGTTTATGTTTTGCACATACGTGCATGATAAATAAACTTGTGGGTACACGGCATACCCCTCTAAGATGTGGCATACAATTTGGACTGGCTCTTCTATGACGTGGCATGCAATTCGAATAATAATAATTAACTAATTATCCATATCTACTATAATTCATTATAAGATACAGTAAAAAAATATAACAATATTATTCGGTATACGAAAAAAATTGAACAATAATACTGAAATACCAAAATAATTTCCATACTTGAAATGTAATATTTTGTTTAATTGTTTTGTGATATTTTCCGTTATAGGTGGAAAACAAATTTTTATTATATAACATAGTTATATAACAATGTTACGTAGGTGTGGACGTGGCATAAAACGTGGTATGCAATTCGGGCATTTTTTTTTTTTTGCTTGTAATTCGGCATTTTTGGCTTGCAAAAATATATAACTGTGGTGAACGCATGAAAAAATTTCGTAGGGGTTTTGAAAATATGTAAAATTTTGATAAATAACATACTTTATTACTCATAATATAATATATATATTTTGATATTTTGGGAATTTGAACCTCTACCCCCTTCTCTAAGCTCGCAAATGATATATGCTATTTATATTCCTAGTTAGACGGGAAATTCTTTGTAGCGAATTTTACATTAAACTTTTTGTTGTAATAATTTGTAGTGATTTTATTGTTTCCTTTTATACATTTTAAGTATTAATATATTATTTTACAAATATAAGAATTCTTGTATTTAATAATTTTAATTAAACAATGAAAAACTGTATTATTTGATAAATATAAAAAACACTACATCAACATAAATGTGTACACGTCAACAATACAGAGTCACACGTCACACGATATAGAGCTGTAAAACTACAGTTAGAGAAAAAAAACGAAATTTATATATATAAATATTAGATGTTTTGTTATCGCTTGTATTTTATAATAAAATCAATATAGAGTTTAAATATTTATTAAAAATATTTGTTTTAAAGTAAAACCAACGCATTAATCGATAAAACGCCATAGAAGTGTTTCTCCTATTCATTTACTCGACATATTAGTTATGTGAGAACGTGTTCAGACACTGAATTTTTAAAATTGTATTTCAATACCATTAATTAGGTACCTAATATACCGTGCGAATTTATTAATTTTAAATTGGTACTTCTATAATACTCGTATTTTATACCGGTTTACGATCCACAAAGTAAAATGTTATAATTTTTTTTATTTATATTTCTCGAGACGCGCTGACGGTAAAAATAATATTATGAC